AAAAAAAAAAAAGAAAAATAGAACTCTTAACTGAAAGTTGAGGATTGTTAGCACATGCCTTGTGTAGTTTGGAAAGGAAATAATGGCTTCCAGGAGACAAAACCTATTACTGTTCTCTGTTCTCAATCTCTATAACCTCCAAGGATTGTTGGGATTACAGGACTAAATAATGGCACTACCCATATTTAAAGGACACTGGGATCTTTTTGAATAGGTGAGACTGAGTGGACAGACAATATAGTAGTTAAGATTTTTGTTCTCTTCCTGATTTTCTGTAGACCGTGGCCTTAGGCTTTAAATAAAACGTCCTGATAATCTTAAACTCTCAGGTTTAATAAAGATCTGACAGTTCATATAAGAGAAAACACGCCATTTTTGGACATTGTGTGCCCACATCAGTCATAGGTAGGGTGCTCAGAGGCACTTCAGACTGACTGCTGCATGCTGCCTGCCCTATTCACTCTTGCCTGCTAGTTGCTATTTCTTTAATAAGTCTTCAAGAGTTTTCTAGGCCCTCACCTTACCCAGGGAAAGTGAGTGGCTCTTTCGCATTATCCATAGTAGCCAAACCTGTCTCCAGAGATACACTCTCTCCTACCCTCTCACTTCCCAGCTGTTCTAAACTAACACTGTGGCACAAAGTCGTACTGTGAGGCTGGGCTCCTGTTTCTGCCTCTTAGTGCCTCCCCGGCTTGGGGTAAGTTGGAAATGGTAGCTCTGTGCATGGTGGTGCTGTTGGTGATGAAGACCCCCGTGTGAAAGTTCTTTGGCTTCTCAGCTTTTCATTGACTGTGTCACGATTGAGAGTAAACCATAATTCCTTCTCAATATTAGCTTATTCCTTTTTCTCTGACATTGTCATGGATTAAGGATATGCCCCCCTCAAACAGATTCTGATAATTCTTACATTGTAGAAGCAAGTTATGTCATTTGAAGTGCTATTATATTTTGTATTTTATTAGCTTGCCTTCATAAATCTACCTTTAATATACAAGGTAGGTATTGCTTTGCGATTTTTATATTTTTCCAAAGATCCGCAGACTCATCCCAGTAAGGTAAAAATTCCTGAGCAGCATTGCAGCTGTGATCTGTTGATTCTGCATCTGGTGGAACATACCAGCTGCTAGAATTAAACAAGATCTTTACCATAATTTGGTGGACTATTAGGACTGCGACCCAGTAACATGAATTAATGGTAGTGCAGAGCTTAGACTGGAGCTAGCTGGAGAAGGAGAGTAAGTCACTATGAGCATGGG